AGCTTCCAGGAGGATCTGTTCCATGATCTTCCCAGGCACAGAGGTGAGACTGAATGGCCTGTAGTTCCCCGGGTCTTCCTTTTTTCCCTTTTTAAAAGTGGGGGTTATGTTTCCCCTTTTCCAGTCAGTGGGAACTTCACTGGACTGACACAACTTCTCAAATATGATGGATAGTGGCTTAGTGACTTCATCCGCCAGTTCCTTCAGGACCCGCAGATGGATCTCATCGGGTCCCATGGACTTGTACACCTTCAGGTTCCTTAGATGGTCTCACATCTGATCTACTCCTACAGTGGGTGGCTTTTCATTCTCCCAGTCCCTGCCTTTGCCTTCTGTGGCATGGGCGGTGTGGCTCGAGCACTTGCTGGTGAAGACTGAGGCAAAAAAGTCATTGAGTACCTCTGCCTTCTCCGTGTCCCAGGTAACCAGGTCTCCCGTTTCATTCCAGAGAGGGCCCACATTTTCCCTAGTCTTCCTTTTATCCCAAACCTACCTATATATATATATATACACACACACACTCACACACACATTTTCAAGTCAATTATATACGTACCCACTCTAGATGAATTATTCCTGCTAAAATTATTTTGAATCTTTCATATTCCTTCAGAACAAAATTTGAGCTCCAACGATGCTGACAAGGCTTCATTTTTATTGCTAGCACTATGGTAGCATTACTGGCAACAGCAGAACAAGAGTAGCCTCTGTACCAAAACCCAAACTTCCATTTGTGGACTAAAAGCCAAGTTACAAAGGTTAGCTAATTAAACTTCCCAACCTGCAGCCTCTGAAATCAAAGCTCAGAGAAAGGATACATCTTGTGGCAGGATACAGAAGAAAGCTGAGGCAGATTTTTAAACCAGAGGAAAAATATGAAGATTTCAAATGTTGTGCTTTAATTATTAGCACAGGAATTCACAGCTATCTGAAACATACTGCTTTTCAAAGTGCACTTTAAAGTACAAGCTTTGTTTACATTCTTTTTAAAGTCTCTTTTCTCTTACTATGAACAGGACTAGTTCCTTATCCACCGCATTACAGAACAAATATAGATTATAATTTTATTTAGCTTCCATGCCTCTCATCTACTATTTCTAATTGTCTCCAAGGGTAGCTGATGTGGCTTTAACACGACATATGAAGCTCTGCAATCTTTCCAACATTTGCTTTCTGATATTTATGAAATGATAGCTTTCTGCTCTCGCACTTCAGTCCTTCAATTTACAAAGCATCCATAGAATTCATTGTTAAATTAGTATTGACCCATTTTAACACTGTAAACCCATGCAGGCTATAATCAAAGCTTCTCATTCTGGATTTCACCTCCTACTTCCCCAGGATGGATATACTGTAAATTCAACCTACTTGTTGGTTTACTATGTCCCTCAGCAGTTGGAGGTGAAGTTGCAAACAGATGCATTCATCCTTGTAGGTATTGACAAAATATTCAAGCTTGAGATCAAACCTTGGACGTTTATGCATGATGTCAGTTATCACTTGGGCCAAAGCAAATCTTTCCTCTGGGTCCAAAGTATGTTGGTAAGCTTCAAAGTAAACATCTAGAAGCTGAAGAGATATTCAGAAGCACATTTAGCAATGTTTATTCACCCAAATATTCATTCTTTGTTGGGGAGAGATTTCTGAACACGGAGTTTGCCACCTGTATCAAACCAACGGTGACACGGTACGGCATCTTGTTTCTGGCACAGGATATTACTCGATGTATCATCAGAAGGCTCAAGAACAGAACATAGAATAAAGTGCCCATACCAGAGATTTCTTCCAAATCTTGCATAGTTAACATGTTTTTTTTCTACTGAAGCATGAAGATTTTTATTCTGCACATTTTTTCCCTTCAAAAAGTAACAAGGCAATGTACTTACTACTTTAAAAACACCTACTTCTTTCCACTCTAATCCATTCTCTGTTTCTTTTCCAGCACACACACTGGTTTTGCCTTTGAAAAACTCCATTTCCCCCAACCTGAAACCTGCAGACTCATACAGGACTCTCCGTTATCTCATTTGGCAATGACTGTCACAGTTACTTTACATTTTTTGGAGAAACTCCAAATTAATCGAAGATGTAATTAAAGATGTACAAAGGTGTATGCCCTCTTCAGGCTCCTCTACCAAGAATAGCTGTAAAGTTTTATTTAAATAAAAATTTTAATTACAAATACCCACAGCTTAGGACAGAAAAAGAAATGTGCCAAGCATGACAGCATGTGAACTCTTGAGATGACATTGTAGTACTTTTTGGTGAGATGGCAATTAGGGGATTGAAAATATGAACGGCCAGTGCTCTTGCTTCTGGACAAATCAGTCATGTCAATATGAAATGATCTACATCTGGCTATTTTACATTGACACAGAAGTAGAAAAGCATCCACGTTACTTTCCATACTGATACCAGAAGACTGTGGAAGAGGAAGATGCAGAAGGGTTTAGGAGGTAACTCGATAGCTGAGAATTCAGATTTCAATGGAAACAGTCAAGTTTTTTGACGTAGACCTGCCTGACCCGAACTGTTCTGGAGGAAGCTAAGACACTGCAATAGGCCACAAGCAAGTTTTATATTGGCTAAGCTAAGCTGTCTCAGCTGCTGGACAAAGGGTTATTGTTTCCTCATTCAGAAAGAACTCTGTCCCAGCTGGAAACAAGGCTAGTGAGACCCACTTCCATTTCATTTCAGCTAAAAGCAAAAGACTTCCAGCAACAGCACATCTGTACATTTAATCCTGCCTAGAGAGTTGGGTTGTGAGAGCAGTTTCAGAATGTACTCTTTGATGGTTTTGGAAAAGAATTAGTGTATTGTTGCTGTAGAGGTTTCATTCTTCCCTACTGGGAATTTTTCTTCCAAAAAAGAAAGCAAATTTCCTTATACAGAAGGCCCACGATAAAAATAAAAGGTAGATTCACAGAGGTAGCATGATCATACAGCAATGGAAAGCAAAGTCTATGGGGATGAGAACAGAAACTTAGTGAACTAGGCAATTAGACAGTATTTTAAATAGGTCTGTAACACAAAGCCCCTCTATGAAAACGGGAGAGTGGCCTTAAGAGATTTCCTAAACTACATACAACTATTTTAGTTTAAAAGGTTTTCCATTTAAAGCCTCGTCAGTGGTACACAGGAGATTCCCTAGCACCCTCTAGCATTCCTATTTTGAGAGCGGCCCTGTGTTACTTCAGGACTGAGAACAAAACATTTCAAGTGTGTGAAGGCGACCTCAATTAGTGCCATTTCTCCCTGCTTTGGAAGTGGACTATCTGCTCCTTTCCGCCTCCTGACACTCTGTCGTGGTTTAATCTCAGTCAGCAACTGAGCACTACAAAGCCGTTCACTCACTCCCCACTCCCCCGGTGGGATGCGGGAGAGAATCGGAAGAATGAAAGTGAGAAAACTCATGGGTTGAGATAAAAACAGTTTAATAATTGAAATAAAATAATAATAACAGCAATAAGAATAATAAGAATATACAAAGCAAGTGATGCACAATGCAATTGCTCACCACCTGCCGACTGATGCCCAGCCAGTCCCCAAGCAGCGGCCCCCCCAGCCAGCTTCCCCCAGTTTATGTACTGAGCATGACATCCCATGGTATGGAATGTCCCTTTGGCCAGTTTGGGTCAGCTGTCCTGGCTGTGCCCCCTCCCAGCTTCTTGTGCACCCCCAGCCTTCTCAGTCAGCAGAGCATGGGAAGCTGAAAAGTCCTTGACTAGTGTAAGCACTGCTCAGCAACAACTAAAACATCGGTGTGTTATCAACGTTATTCTCATCCTAAACCCAAAACACAGCACTGCACCAGCTACTAGGAAGGAAATTAACTCTATCCCTGCGGAAACCAGGACACATTGCCCTGGGGACTGCTGAGTCCCATAGACAGAAATACACTTCCAAGATCCTCTGGCTTCCTTCCTCTGAACTTGTCTAATCTTCACCTTTCAAGACTGAAGTCTTTGGGCAGAAACCCTGTGTGCCTTCATGTCCCATGGCAAAATACAGACACATGACTAGATTCAGAGAGAGGAAGGGGAAAGCCTGCAGGATAGGCAGCGGCCCTTGTGAATGGCAAAGCTACAAATCACTTAATACACATTTTTAGTGTTGGTTTGTTTGTTGGTTTTTTTTAGCATCACACTAAATCACGGAATTTTTTGCTCAAATAGATTAACTAATAAAGAAGAAATAAATTTATAATATGTATAGAATCGTATATTGGTGGATGAAAAGCTGGACACGAGCCGAAAATGTGCGCTCGCAGCGCAGAAGGCCAATCGTATCCTGGGCTGCATCAAAAGCAGCGTGGCCAGCAGGTCGAGGGAGGGGATTCTGCCCCTCTGCTCTGCTCTGGTGAGAC